CCGAGCGCATTTTTGGAAAAGGAAATAAAAACTGTATTTGTAGACGTTTTTGCTGTGAGAAAGAAAGTTACACATGTTGATTTTAATGCAGGTGTACATTAAGTAATTTTGAAATTATTATTTTTATTATTTGAAACGAGCAATTTTTTAACCTGGGAAATGTGATTTAAGAGAATGAAAGAAATTGTGATGCATGTTTAGGATCATTTATAATTTTATTTATAAATTTATTGCAACATATTTTTTATGGTACTCCTGCTAGACATGTGTTTGCTTTCCATTGACCTAAATAATACGTATGAGATTTTCAATTATCCGTCAGAATCTAGATTGTCAAATAATAATATTTGTATTCTGAGTCCAAATGGACCCGAGTTCCGCTACACAGCGGTCTGGGAATTCGCTTTCTGTGTGCAAAATCAAAATTTCCAAATTTAATACAGTAAAATAAATTTGTTTGCTATGATAACCCTTTAAAGCTCCCTAATCCAAAATATTATTCGTTTGATGATGATGATTCAAAAAGGAGTAACTTCTTTCAAGTTTGAACAAATGACTTGATTTTTTTTTAAATGTTAGAGCGACTAATATACTAGACAATATCTAAAAGAAATTTTACAGAAAATTCAATTGGGAAGTATAACAAAACAATATAAAATTGTGTCCGAGTTTAGGACAAAAATTTAAACAAATCATTGTTGTAGGTTTTCTCAGCATGCATTAAAAATTTTGTTAACATTGTTTAGCATGGTAGTTCCTTTATCGTCTCAAAAAATTCAAGTCATTTGGTTCAATTGTTAATAAGTTATTTCATTTCGAAAGGTGTCCGACAATTTTTTTGACCGAATGTATTGAGTTGGCAGGAAAGTAATTTTTCGGTATTTCAATGTGAAATGAAACTCAATTTTTTCTATACAAGAAATGAACTTTAATCAGTCAAATATTTTCCATTCTGTTCGATGATCTTTTGCCATCTTTCTGGTAACTTCATGATTCCGCGCTCATAAAACTTCTGATCCTTATCAGTAAAAAGCTCAGACAAGTGCGATTTGACGCTATCGTTATTATTGAAATTTTTATCATTCAAAAAGTTTTGTAAACTTCAAAATAAATTATAATCCGATGGTGCAAGGTCGGGGCTATATAGAGGAAGCGATATCACTTTTAAACCAAGCTCCAATAATTTTGTACGTGTTGCTAAAGATGTGTGAGGCCTCGCATTGTCCTGGTGGAACACGATTCCTTTGCGATTTGCCAATTTTGACCTTTTCACTTTGATTGATTCCTCCAATTTCATAAGTTGTTGGCAGTAAACATCCGAGTTGATCGTTTGGTTGCTTGGAAACAGCTCAAAATACACAACACCTTTATAGTCCCACCAAATTGACAGCATGATCTTTTTCTGATGCAATTCAGCTTTCGATATGGTTTGTGCTGGTTCATCACGCTTGGACCATGACCTTTTTCGATTAATGTTATTGTAAACGATCCATTTTTCATCACCAGTGATAATTCGTTTTAAAAAACGGATCGATTGCATTACGTTTAAAATGCGTATCGCAAATACTGATTCGTTGTGTTAAGTGAATTTCTTTCAATTCATGCGGAATCCAAACATCGAGCTTCTTAACAGGTTCAAGACATCTTATGTGATATTCAATTGTTGCGTGCGATGCATTTAACCTTTTTGCAATCTCTCGTACAGTTATATGATGAATCGATTCAATTATGGCTTTGATTTTGTCAACATCAATTTCAAAAGGTCGACCAGAACGTTGGTTATCTTTATGCGAAAAATCTTCAGAACGAAATCTTTTGAACCAATTCTGACACGTGCGTTCTGTTAAACAATCGACGCCATAAACTTCACATATCTCTTTGCGAGCCTCGGCCGCTTCCTTGGCTTTATGAAAATAAAAAAGTGAAATATGTCGAAAATGTTCATTTTTGCACTCCATGTTAAAATTTACACAAACTATCAGTTGTAAACAAAACTACACGGAATTTGTTTTTATAGTAACCTAAACGTGTCATATCAAAGCTGAAGACAAAAAAGAGTTGTAACCTTAACAAAAGAATGACAATGCAAACATAACACCAAAATTACTTCCTTGCCAACCCAGTACATTAGAAATACTCTACTTATACTCGAATACTTAGATCGATTGCTAGAAAACTGTAGTCGATTAATGTTACATTATACGTTAAGTAATGACAAACAAGCTGCCAATTCATGTATAATTGTCAATACAATATATGCGTAACTCAATTATTATTCAATTATTGATATTGTGCATTGAAAGACAAGCACAAGAATAACCTTCTTTTCGTCGTGTCTTGTGTGTCACTATTCTAGTCGTAGATTAGTGGTATCAGGAAGACGAGTTAGCATGTATTTTTAATTGCGGAAACAAACCGCACGCCCACGTGTACTACCACCATTCGTATTATAGATGGACTGCGAACGATGTTGATCAGCTAGTTGGTTCGTTTGTTAATCAGCCGTCCCAAATCCAACACGCACTTCCTGGCTTCCTGCGATTAGCTGTACGATAGAGAATTATGCAACTCTTTGATTGGAAACGACGTGTTCCTCGATATCAATGTTATTCAAATTTATTGCGACAAGCTAAAATATTCAAAGCAGTGTAGATTAAAGCCTGTATTCATTGCATTCGCAATGGTATTGTTACGGCGACTTGTCCAAATCAAGTGAAACTGCCCTGTTGTGAGCAATTCCTTAAAGAAAAATAGAAGAGAGGGGTTGCCACGGAGGTGTTTTATCAACGAACAATGGAAGAGTCGGGATCGGACCGTCGAGCGATCAACACCATCTAATTCAAAGATCTCTAACATAATCTAATTCAGTTGTATTATAGTTCGTGTTCTCTATTGTAAATAAAATGCCGCGACGCGGAAGAAGTGTAGTAATTCGTAACAGTATATTGATTCAATAAGAATTAGAGAAATTATGAACACATTAATCATTCTTTTTTGGTGTAATAATTAATTAATTTTCTGTTATGACACTTCTGGAGAGAATTTGAAATATTTGTTACATTCTGTCCATTTATTTCAATCCTTAACTAGTTTACTGGGGTCACGAGTGACCCTCTAAAATTGTGTTTGTATTTAATTTTTATTAAAAATTCAATTGTCCACGTGTTTATTACTATATACACCAGCTAATGGCTACTTTTTATTTGGAATATTATTTGATCTTTAATAAGCCCAGTAGTTTTGTGAAAATCATTATACCAATTATAAACTTTAAATCTCAAGAGGACGACTGAGGGTGACTTGTCCAGTGAATGAATGCTTAAGCTACATGTTTGTTAAAATGTTCGCTAAGTTCATACATCACTGAACACAATTTTAATATTTTTTGATAGTTTCAGCTAGACTGCGGATTTTATAGATATACAATCAGTGACACACACACACAAATATACGTGGACATCCTTTAAAATGGTATAATTTTTTTAAAACTAGACTAAACGATTTGAATTTTGTGTAAATGTTAAGGAAATTAGTTTACTGTACAATGACTAAAATACCTTTTTTAAATTTTGCAATTACTTGGAATGATAGCGAAAACTAAAAATACTTCAGTTTGTTAATATTTCATCCGAGCCTGCAACGAAAATTGAAAAAATCCATTTTGTAGGTCCTGATAACTTATCTGCATGTTGAAGATTTCATCGAAACCGGTTCACGTTGTTATGAATTACAAACAATTAAAGATCGCGAAAATCGCAGTTTTCTCCCAATTTTTGACACTTTCGACCAATACTTGTTACAAATCTGCAGTTTTTGCAATCCTTCAACACTCGCAGTTTAACTTTGCGTAAACCGATTTCGATGAAACTTTCAGAGTACATTTTGGTATTTTTACCAAAATCTACAAAACGCACAATTTAAATTTAATAAATAAGAAATTTAAAAAGCAGGAATATTTTATTTTTTTTTGTCATACCAACTAGTAGCAAAATTAAAAATTGTATAATAGATAAATTGCATAATAGACTTGCCCTCCTATCATTTGAACAAAATTCAAGTCTTTTAATCCAGTTTTTAAAAAGATTATACCGTTCTAAAGGATGTTCACATATCTTTGTCCCCGACTGTATTTGTGGCAAAAGTGGTTAGATGAAATGTAAAACTTTGAAGGTATTAGATAAATTTAAAAATATTGTTACATTATTATTAACGTATCAAAATTACTGAAAGATGGAATTCAAACTCTGTTTCTTACAATGAATTCAGACAATTTTTATTTTGCATGTAGATCCGCAGGCTAGTTGTAGCATTTTTTAAAATGGTAACATAAGTTTTATCAAAAAATACGTTAAGCAACCAATAAATGATCATTTAATTAACTATTTAGCTGTTGCATCCTCTTTGAAAAGTGTGTGAGTTACTATAATTATTGGGCTACGGATTTTTATATAAAATAGAAATGATCTTCATCGATTGCAACGAGCATGAGTCAAATAGAAAATTCTTTCTTTAATAATTGCAATGGATTGAAAATAACACATAGTTGTCCTTAAATTCTTTTATTTGTCCTTAAAATCCATAGTCTAGCAATTATCCTGAACATGTTTGATTTTATTCACATTTTGTTTAAATACAACACTTATATAAAATATGTATACTTTCATGAAGAAATAGACGAGTATATTTGTCAAAAACAACTAACTGGTTAAATCGACGAATTTATACAAAGTGATATTTGCACGATATCCGTAGTTGTATAATAGAACTAGTGTATCTTTATTGCGTGAAAGGTAGCCTAATCGTTCCTTTTTCATATAATGCAAGAAACGTCAGATTAGCTTATCGAATTTGCCAGGAATTAAAGTGGGAACGATTACAAAATGAAAATATGAAAATTAATGAAGTTACCAAAATCTATCTATCGGAAGATTTAATTAAGAGCAGACAATTAAGTATCTCTGTTGTGCGATTGTATATATATTTTTTACTTTGTTTTGCAGCTTACGGCGGGGTCCGGGGGCTAACGTGCAAGACGCCAGTGGATACTCGGCCCTTCATCACGCAGCATTGAACGGTCACAAGTACGTCTCCATTCGGTTCCGATCAAAATCCCCGTCTTCATTCAAATCAATTTACTTAATCATTCTTACTTCACGAAACGACCCGTAGAGCTCGTTGAGCGCGAAGTCGTTTTCGTCGCGTCTCTCATTAATATTCCCTTCGATCGCCTATTAATCGATGTCAAGCACATTCTGACGGTAATTCGAGGAAACGCTTTTATCCTCAGGGAGGTGGTAAAGTTATTGCTCCAATATGAGGCTTCCACTAACGTCGTCGACGCTAAAGGCTCTTCGCCGCTTCATTTGGCAGCTTGGGCGGGCGACGCTGAAATCGTGCGGTTAATTCTTACCCAAGGACCTTCGGTACCCAAAGTGAATCTTACGGTCAGTGAATTTATGCCTTTTCTTTTTTCTTTAATCAGAAAACAGACCCGAAGAACAATCGAATGTTTTCTTGAATACGAATGAAGCACATGTAAAAATTATGCACATTTAAATCCATTTATTGTTATAACTAGACTGCGGATCTCTAAGTAGTTCTGCGTATGAAGATTTTTGAAATATAATATTTAAGCAAATATTAAAAATATAATGACTAAGGTTAATATTGGAAATATTATATTTAAGATTAATATTCAAAATATCATATGTGTGTGTAACATATAAAGTAGTACTTTATTCTTATGATGGAATCTTTTGATCAACTAAAGAAATAATTCTGTTATCTTAGCTTTTATAGAATTAAGTACAATTTATTTTTCCATTAAAAATAAACTCTTCTTAGTTTTCACTATATTCATACAAATGTTCTAGACAAAGATCTGCAATCTATTTATGTTCGTGAAAGCTGTGCAGAATTTAAATGCAGTCATTCACAGATAAAATCGTTCATTGCATATAGAAATTCATTTTAAATATTCGAAAAGTTAAAGGATGAATGGAGCTGAACGGAGTTGAACGATAAAATTCTATTATAATATCGGAGGAAATGAATCTTCGCAGATATTTAAAAAATTGATGACTCAATCGGAAAAGTATCGTACAATTAAAATCGTAGATTTGTAGAAACTTATTTTCATGTTTATCTAAATTGATCATTATTACTTCGTTGAGTTCGCTACATTAGTTTTTAGAAAATTAATACATATAATTTAAAATATATTAATTAATATATATGCTGCGACTCAAAGTACATTGTCTGCAAAAAGTATTCGCACCAGATTTTCGATTTTCGTCAAATTCTCGATGTTTGAACTGTTATTATTTCGTTAAAAACAGTAGTAAAATAATAAATCTGGACTCATATTAAAGCTTGAAGCCTCTACTTTCGATTATTGTGGTCGATTATTATTTGTTACCATGCTTTAACATGGCTAAAGATGCCGGTTCACTCTAAAATGTTACAAGTTCAAACGTCCTCGAAAATCTTGGAAAATTTTTTAAATGAATGAATTGTACTAAGATCTGATAATTAAAGTTTTGCCTTTATAATGACCCTTCAAAACTTGGTGTACGATGTGTTTAATCGTTTCGTGAACTAGAAAGCAGAAGTACTTAAAACTTTGTATTGCTGCAAAATAGGGAATACATCTTCCATACATAGTTAAATTAAATTACTTAAATAATCGAAGACCAAATTGTAAGAAATCGTTGTAGAAGGGAAACTGCAATCTTCAAATGTATGCTAGGATCGTGAGCAATATTTTCCAATGTATCCACAGACGCTTTAATTTGTAACATTTCCAATAAAGTGCATGCCTCCAATTCGCCGCCAGCAATATTATGCAAAAACATGTTACAAGAAAACGAATGATGCGTAACAAACTTAAAAGCTTCAAGCTTTAAAATGAGTCTATGTTTATAGTTGTACCATACACTTTTACGAAATTATAACAGTTCGGATATCTTGAATCAGACGTGAATAAAACTATTTCAACTAGAAAATACATATGTATATTCGTGAATATTATTTCTCTCAACTGTGTTCACGTATGCTTCATTTGAAATAGTAATTTATTTCTATATTAAGTGTGTGTGTGTGTGTGTGTGTGTGTGTGTGTGATATGCTAGTTAAAATACTTCATTGAATTTACAAATATATAATAGATATACAAAATATATATTTTACAATATAAATTTGAAATACTAAAGCGAAATAAATATTTTCTTTATCGTGCGTGAAATGGAACATTTGAATATTATTTCCATGTTGCCGACCAATGTAAATTGACATTTGTGTTTACATTTCAGATATGTGCATTACTAAAAGCAAACAGATGTTAAATGTTCTAATTACGTTAATCAATTAAGAGAAATATAATAAAAAGCTTGTTTTTCAAACCAGTAGGTGTTTATAGTTTTTCTACAGGTTTATTTTCTCTCATGAATATTTGTTGTAAAAATAGAATTTCAAATAATTAATAGAAATTTAGACACATGAAATACTATTTCAAATAGTTACTTCCAATACATCTTTAAAAAAATACTGTTTCAATTCATCATTTTTCGTTGCGACAATATAAGTAGATGTACTTATCTCTGTTACGTCACATAAATCTTGAAATATTATTTCACACATATAAGAGTGTTTATTTCATTGACTGTTTCCAAATACTTTCTAAAATATTTTTATCCAGCTCTGTTAACATCGGTAATTTAGTTTACAATTACATTTTGCAGCTACCGTACATGAGAAAAGATAATTCATTTTGTTCCGAGAAATTCTCATAATAAATATTTTATTCAAAAGTATTCCTCTGTTGTTTTCTCTACATTTCAACAGCATGAAATTCGTCGCTGTGAATACGATTTAATACCATATGATACTGTTTAATTTCGTTCATAAAATAAATGAATTTTTGAGATTGCGGAACTGTTTGTATTTTCCGATCGAATAATAATTTGATCGGGTTAATGAATTGTTTGCGCGGCCCGGCGGTATTTTGAGTTGAATTCGGCACTTGCCAATGCTGGGAATCGAGAGCAAGTAATTTGTTAACTCGGAATACCGCTTTGTATGATCGCAGACGAAGGACAACGAGACAGCGTTGCACTGTGCAGCACAGTATGGGCACACGGAAGTGGTGGCACAGCTGTTGCAATACGGATGCGACCCCAGTATCCGCAACAGCCGGGGAGAATCCGCACTCGATCTCGCTGCACAATATGGCAGGTAAATTGCACGTACTATTTTCGCCCCCCTTTTTTAATTGAAAATCAAAGTTCGTTCAGATTTTTGTCTCCGTTTCGCACGAACACATTGCTGAAAATAACAATACTCTTGCCTTGTTAGTTATTACTTAATGCTAGCCGTATAATTCGATCGATGACGATTGCTAATTGGCTCTACACCCCCCCAGTAACGTTAATTATCTTTTGTAGACTGGAAACCGTGCAATTACTCGTTAGTACGTATCCGGAGCTGATCGTACCTCTTCGGAACTCTTCCTCCTCGGTGATTTTTCCTCATACTCCGCTGCATTTGGCTTCGCGAAATGGCCATAGGTAAGTCTACGATCAACGAATTATGAACCAAAAAATTCTCCGAATACTTTCCTCGTTTGGAGCAGTCCGAAGTATTGTTCGATTTAATGAGTAGGGTTGCTTACGTTCCCCTTGTATTTAACACTATTAAGGATACACAAAATCAGAACAACTTGTTTAACACTATTTTTACTGATCTATCTGTTTTTACCAAGCTAATTTTATAATAATTATTGGAAAGGTAGAAAAGTCATTTGAAGAAAAGTGTGACAAAAGACACCATGCCCAGAGATAAAAATATAATATAACATCACCAACGATCCTGACATCACAGAACATGTCCAAAATATTCTAAATTACCTAAAAGAAACCAACACCTATCACCAAATATAACCACTCAGAACAATAATAGCATCAAGTTGTCGCTAATGACCAGAAGGTCGATGCGACATTAAATACCAAAAAAAAGTGACTAAACTTGGAAAATAAATTAGAATTTCAGAAGGTGCTTTTTGCCCTTTCTGATAAACATAGCGCTGAATTAAAATTTTAGAAAGTGTTCATTAAAATTATAGAAGGTGCTTTTTCATCACTTTGGTAAAAATAGTGTAGAATTAAAATTTGAAAAGGTGTCTCTTGATCCCCCTTCGATGAAAAATAGTGTCAATAATACAAGAGTAGAAGAGACAAGATTTATAATAGCAATAGATTCTGACAACATTTTCAAAATTAGTTTTCAAATTGGATACAAAGATCGTGTCGGTTAAGTCGGACTTACCCTTTTTTTTATACTTTTTGCAAAATATATAAAGAAAGATTGAAAAACAAACTTTCAAAGATCTAATAAATAATTATTCTTTCAATTACATTTAGTTTATATGTTTAAGGTTCTGCGTGTGCCGTGTTCCGTAGTCGAAGAATTTGTTTTCGATTCCATTCATTATTCCGTCTAGTCTATCTTAACCCATGATTTCGATTATACCGTGTTCAATAACTAGTCGATACCGCTCAACAGCTCCGCGTTCTCTCTTTATTTAATCAAGCTGAACCGATGATCGTGCATGGCGTTCGATCAACACGCGAGGGTGGCGGCCCACGCGTTTGCAGCCGGTGTCCATGAAATCTATTTTATATTGCATTGCAGATCAGGATCGCTGTTAGATTATTCATGATTCGCGGAACCCTGCCGAACTCGTGTACACTCGGCTTCCGAGCGCGTACACGAATCGCACGATTAATTTGTGTTTGCCGAACGGGACCGAAAGAAAGCTTTAGCGGCTTTTACCCTACCCTTCCTATACTATTCCTTCAGTATTAATCATCAAATACGGAGATGAGCGTATTACAGAATAGGAGAGTAGCCGAACTTCGCTATTGTCTTGCTAAAAAAATGCATGCAGTGTTAACCCTCCAACCGCGAACAACGTGGAATTCGCGTTCCAAATATTTTGTAAAGTTTAACAAAAAAAACTAAACATAAACAATTTTTTCTTTTTATTATTTCTCTTTTTATATCTTTTATAAACTAATTTTCAGGGCGCGATTTCATACCGAAAAATCAAAATCTTGCTCGCGGTTAGAGGGTTAATGACCATTAATAGATTGCAGATTTTTGCGTGAAGGAAAGTGTTCTAAGTCACTTCTGAGAAACATGAATTAAATAAAAATTAGTGTCTTGATAATTTTAATGAATCGAAAATAGTGTAACAGTACTATGCAAATTATTTTGATTATTTCTCAGTACTCTTAATACTAAAGCCTACCGAGCACTGAAAGTGACTGACGTTTGTTATTATTATTTATTATTTAGTATTTAATATTTTGTTATTCTATAAGAATAACAAGACCGAATTGATTTAGACATTTCGCCATTTTGATTATAATGTGTGCTTGAAATGAGAATTTTATTCAATCATTTCCTATGAAACAGTCTTTATAATGTCAACAACCAAGGAATAAAAAATATGAGACCGATCAAAATGTTCGGCATGGTAGGTTTAATGTTAGCTTCTAATTTCCTCATATATATTATGTATTCACTTTTTTGTGTGGTTATAATAAAATTTAATTGCATAAGCGTACAGGAAAAATATTAGTTTGCAATAAAGGATGCGGTATGAGAGTATAGTGTTATAAAGAGTTTGCAGTCTAACTGTGAAGTATGATTATGGTCTAATTTAGTTGTGTTTTTTGAAAAAGAGAATTTTTTGTAGTGCTATTGGCAGTATTAATTGCTTATAACTCATAACTAGATTGTGGATTTTATGCATGTTTGACTAAAATAACTAGGTTAAATACAAAACCGTGAAGACATTCGAAGAATTTAAGATCATCTTTCCAGTGTATGCGACGTATTAAATTAACTAAAAGAGGAAGTATATTTTTATCAGACTTAAGTTTCCTATAATTAGCAGAGATAATCTTTATTTTGCACAAAAATCTATCTGCTCATAATTTATGAGCTGATACTGACTTTATATTTTCCTTTTTATTTGCTTTCTGTATGCTATTAAACACGTCTCTTTGAAAGTATGATAAAAGCATTCAATATTTATTCACATATAAGACATGGAAAATATATTTACTTCTTAATGCATAATAATTTCTATCTTTATAGATTATAGAGATGTAAATTGTTTTTTAAACTTGCATTGCAATGATTGTGAAGAGAACATCGACATCATTTGATGCCCTTGTGATAGAAGCTTTCGTAGTTAGATAGAAAATTAAATGTTGTTTCGAATTTAATAACATGTATATAATCTAAACCTGTTCTTTGGTAATTGAGTGTACCTGTGTCATACACGACATGAACGTTAAAGTGTTAATGACATCAGTCACCGAGCATAAATGACATGGTAATATAGAAATGAACGTGTTAGTTTCTTTATAAATAAAAAATAAAAAATTGATTGAAAATTTCTGTTAGTAGTTATCAATATCTTGTTCGTTCCCAATATTAAAGGTGTTCAAAAACTTGGCTATGCTACTTAATGATGTTTATCGATCAATTAATATTTTTTCTGTCTTATTTTACTAATCTATACTAATGCAATTTTTTCTATTTTTGGTGAACACATAAATCATTGCTTATACCAGTTATTTAGACACTTGTTATCTCATTTTTTATGAAAGCGTCTTCCTAATTTCAGCGATCTTAAAACAAAAAATGTGAAACCGGTCATTTTGAGCGGCTCAGTAGGTTCAGTGTTAAGTACGAAGAAGTTCTAATTGGTGCAGTTGTGAAAGAAATCGTAGTGGAAGAAGTTGAAAGAGTTAGCCATGTTTGACACAATGTTTTAAAAAGTAACACCTCATTGGGTGAACCAGGGTGAACAGGGTGACCGCAGAATGATAGGGTGATATGAAATAAAAAATAACTTTCACGAACATACGTTTTTTAACTTTTTATCAGTTTACTTGGAAACATAATTAACAAATATTTTTTAGTATTGTGTGTGGAAAACAACATCCCTCAAATGACCACCACTTCCCTATTAAATTTCAGCTATTTTCTCTCAGTTTTAAAAACTGATTTCTCGCTGGAAAAAAGAAAATAAAAAAGCTTGAAAATTATCAAGTTATGACTTTTTCAAACCTTTCAGTGTTTCAGTGGCCACCCTATATATAAAGAATAAAGCAGCCAGTAAAAATGATCTGTTCCACTCATCTGCCATGATCGCCCTAGAATTGCACATTCAAAACTGCTCACTTTTCGAAGTAATTAATTAGAGAGAGAGAAACGTAGTTCTTACAAGTTAATAAACAATTGGAAGCTTGGTGACCCGCACGTTCTGCGAACTAAAAGACCAAGACCACTCCCTTCGTCCCGTGTCTGAGAGCTTTGGTCACCTTTTCCCGGGAACCGTTAGTGTTAACTACCGGGTAATGCGCGCCCCGCATTGTATCACAGGAACAACAATGGACTCGTTTCAGCTAACCATAACGATGTCGAGCCATTTGCAGCGTTGCCCATTAGAGCCAATCAGAGAGCACTGCGTTGCGTAATTCCGTCGAATACGATATGTACGTCCTCTGGCTGGCATGATCCGTCGCAACCCTCTCCTGGTTACACGTCCTATATTACCATCCTGCCGATCGCCCTCTCATTCCTCGCCGAGCCTCGGCGAATGCATTCGATCGCATTGTACCGTCAACAGCTCTGTCCATCCGTGCGGATTGCTGACCGCCACTCGATTACGAGGATCGTATTAATCATTACCTCTGAAACGTACCGACCTAGATCAGTCCGGCTCTCACGAGCTAGCTGAATCGCGATTGCTCGGACCATCCCAGAATGTTTAATACCCTTTCATGCCTGAAAGTGTTCTGTCGCTTGATAAACGCACCGCACCACGCCGATATCGGTACCGGTTTAACGGATTTGTTTTTAACCACGTCAAGGATCATCGTTGCTTCCCAGCTTATCAAGCGTTATTTTTTTCTGACTTCGAAATTGCTTCTTCCCGCAGAGGGATGAAAGTGGATTTCTCTTAACTCCCATTAGTAACGGAGTACACTCGGCCGATATTTCTCCCATTTTTCCTCTACGTTTCTGCACAACAAATTCCGCTTTGTTCGTAAATATAGGGGAGATCGGGGCGAAGTTAGCCCAGAAAAATTCGGGAAACGTTTTGTTTTGATAAAAATGGATCGAGATTATAGTTGATCGATGGAAATTAAACAAATCAATTAATCACATTGAACTGTTTAATACATGCGTCAGTTTTTAAATCGTTATATTTAATTATATCTTTTCAGGATAACAAACTTTGATTAACCTCTTGCCGTAATAATATTCTAGTAATAACTTATTGAGTATAGATGTTATTCTGTTCTTTAAAATTGGAATAAAATTCTAATCTCCTGTTATCAGTATCTAAGCATTCAAATAAACTTAGGCACACAATAAACAACAATTTTCTTTCCCTTCTAAGAAATTATTGCAATCGAAAAATTTCTAATCGCAGTAACTGCGAAGAAAATGGTATATCAAAGGGTTAAGGAATGTAAAAGCTGTA